ACTTGGTTTTTCTTCATCAGCTATTGGATCTTTCCTGCTTTGCCTTCTCAAAGCATGGTTTTCAGTGTCATATTAAGTTCTTTAACTCCTTATATTATGGTTTCTGTCCCCTTGACTGGTACTGAAATTGTGTCCCTTAAGGTGAACACACTCTTGATTGTATAATCTTTAGAGATTTTAAAATTCTCATTATTTTTGACCTCTTGATATTTCAGTAAAGGTCAGTAATCCCCATCATTGCACTGTATTCATAGTGATCTATCAATTTTTTCTTTTATCTCTGTAGGATAAAGTTGAACCTGTGCAAGGTTGATCAAAATCTCCTGCCTCCTCTCCACTCCCCACCACATGTACTTGAGGTTTTAACAATACTACTTAGTAGTCCATGTTTTAGGTCTCTTGCACTTGTCATAGTCTATGATTTCCTGTGCCTGGAATGTTCTTCCCCATCCTGCTAGCCCGATCTTTCAGAATGTCTCAAGATTCACCTTGCACTTCCTTGATCATACTTGCAAAAATTAATCACATCTTATGTCTCAGTTCACTATTGCCTGTGACTTCAGGAATGTGTTATCTTCATGTATTGCTTTTTAGAGGGTGATTGCCCTGATGATAGCGCTTGGATTTGATTCATTCTAATTTTCTTTTCATGCTTAGCATAGTGCTTGGCATAGATTCAGTAGCTGGCTTGTATTTGTCAAATCAAAGAAGGTAAGACTGTAAGCTTTGTGAGGACACACATTTTATGACTATGTGAATGGGCAAATAAGCCTAACTGGAACCCTTTATAAGGTGCCAGAAGGAGATAGCAGAGAAAACTAAATATATTTGTTGTCTCCATTTTTTTTTATTTTTTATTTTTGTAAATTAAGCAGGTGGTAAAGAGATTTTTATTCTTAAATTGTCTGGTGAATAAAACCAGCACCTTTGTGGAGAAAAGTGACTAGAAGGCAATGTTATGTGACCGAAGGATCCTATAGGTGAAGTTGCAGAGCCATTGGATAAAATATATGTTTAACCTAACTTTTGTTTTAAAATATTTGGTAGGAAAATAATGGCAGGTAACTTTTATTAGAGTGTAGTTTTTCTCCCCTTCTTTAATAAATAGATAAGACTGGTTAGTTGTATAGAAATGGGTTCATGTCAGATGACTCAAAATAATTTTAAGCTACTTGAGAGTATCCCTCTTCATTATGTGCTGTGAAAACTCTTCCTGGAGATTTAGCTTCATCCTAAGTTAATTCGTATTTTGAAATATTGTGATTTATTTTTTTAGAATTGTAAATCAGTTCACAGCTATTTACTCGTCCAGTAACTTGAATTCTGTAGGATAAACTTTCCGATGCTGAAAACACCTCTTTTTTCTTTGCTAGTCTCTACAGTCAGAGGTGACAGGGATGCCTGAAGCTTATCCTCAGGCTTCTGGCTTTGTAGCTTCCTCTCTTAGAGCAGTTATGGCTCTAGAGTCCCAATAGTTTGGCTATAATTTGGGTAGTTTGGATGAAATATTTTGGTAACTTTATTAGCACATTTAGTTTGGCTAGCAGAGGAAGTGACAGGCCTGAGGGTGCTTCTATGGGGGGGGGGGAAGGACTAGGGTCAAAATAAGGGGGGGTGCAATTGTATGGGGAATATAACCAAAATGAAAATGCATACATTGTGCAAAGATGAAAAATGATGTAAGAATTATATAAAATAAAATATTTAAAAAAAATAAAAATAGAGTGTTTAGTCCCTTGTACTCTTCCCTCCCCAGTTTTGATCCCTCTCCCTCCTCCTCCCCAGCAGAATGTCCCTGGTTTATATTGATGGTGCACAGGTGGATTGGTGGTGGGATTTTTTTTAATGATTTATTTTTATTTATTTATGCATACAAGAACTGGGGTGCAGACCAGAGGTGCGGGGCCATGAGAGGATTCACCAGAGACAGAGTGGGGAGCAGAACAGGCAGACTGACTGAAATACACTGCTGAGGGGAGCAGGGGGGAGACAGGAGAGGTCTGCTGCGCCATGTGGGTTGCTCCCTGGCCTGGGATCATCTCAAGCCTCAGTGGCTGGAGATTGCTGGAGATTGCTGGAGATTGCTTGATAGGGCTGAGACTTTAACCCCTGTGCCACCAGGAGGCCCTGGTGGTGGAAATTTTATAGGGACTACACCCACCTGAGAGGCGAAAGCAAATATTGTTCAAAAATGAACAGTGATGTAAAATCTATGTAAATAAATACATTTAATAGAGTAATAAAAATAGTTTTAAATTGAGGTCTTACTGCCTTTCATTTTAATTGTAATTAATTCAGTCTCGGGTGTGTGTTGCTCTGCTTTCTTTAAAATTTCCAGTGCTTTTTTTACTAAAGAATCTATTTCTGCTTTGCCATCCATTTTATCTCTTTTCTTTGTCATCTCCCAGTTCTTTAAAATTATTGTTGATATTATATATTCCACATGGCTCAATTTATATTTCTTTTCATAGAAAAATTTGATAATAATGAGGAATTAATAACCCCTTAGGGAAGTTATTAAGTCATTACTAGGTCATTTAAGATGTTTTATACTTGGAAAAGATAATATATAAGAAAAAGATGATGTACACTTTGGTGAGTTCAGGTGATTCATAGTGAACAGTGAAAAAAGAAAATCTTTCTACCTTAGTGCTCATTTCTTTTCTCTAGAGTCAACCATAGGTACTAATTTTATTAATTTCAATTTTATCCACCAAAAAATAACCTGTACGTATATAAGGAGATAAATTTATTTTTATATTATTAAATACTTGGTTTTGGGACTCTATGGGGTAGGAGTTATATTTTTTAAAAGTTGTGAGTGGAGTTAGTAGTACTCACACCTTATGAAGCGTGATACTCTACCATAAAGATTTTTTGTGAAGTAAATAAAGATCTTGCAGAGCAGCATAAGAAAATATTTCTTATGTATCTTCCAGTGCTAGTGGTCAGACATGGTCTATTTTCTGTTTCTAGTTGTGTTGATTTTTATACTAATTTTGATCTCACCCTTTGATTGGGAAAATAAAGAACAAATTGTTTGACAGTAATTGAAGATATTTAGGAGACTGTATGTTCTTTTCTAATATCAATCTGGCAAAAGTGTACTGAGCACCTTCTCCTCCAACTTGTTCTTTATCCTGACTTTATCCAAACATTTTACAAAAGCATAGTATAGTCAGAATTTGAGGCACAGATGAGTTGAGATTTTCACAGTCACCCTCTAGGACTTGATCATGAAACCAGGCTACATTACCCAAGATTCCTGTTCCCTGACTTTTAACCCCAATTTAGAACACTTTCACCAATGCATTAAAACACTGCCAACTGCAGAGATAGTCAGCTATAATTCAATGCCCATTCTTTCCAGAAAGTCATATATTACCCCCTACCCCTCTACCTCCAAAAACCTTTTGAAAGACTCAAGTTAAAGTATTTTTCCATCCTGTATTTCCTCATTTTTTGTTCTGTTTGGTTTTTAGTTTTCCTTTCCCACCTACTGTTCTTCCTCATTCTGCCTCAACAGTTAAGTAGATTTATGTTACTGATACATTTAATGTTCTAATTGGAAGCCCCTGTATGAATGTGTATCCTGTCGCATTCCTGGGAAGCTATTCCAATAGATATCTTGGACGATGACCTGTGAAGGCAACTGGGATTGCTTTTAAATCTTTAGGAAAAAAAAAAGAAGGTGGGTGGGGGTAACTCCAGACTATTGGGAGGAATTGTTAGAACATGGGTATGTGAGGGATCACTTTTTTAAGTTCCCAAGATTCCTTGCTTACTAGGACTTGTTTTGTCTTTAATCTTACCATTCGTCAGTTTGCCTATATTTAGATTGTGTGTAAGAGTAATGCCCTGTATTGTAGAGCAATTAAGTCATTCTGAAACTTCCAGTTAAAAGATGCTGTTTTAGCTCTGACACCGACAGTTCAGCACCCTCCCTACACACTTTTTATTCCTTTGAACTGCCAGTTGCATGGAAGATAGCAGTGTAACATCTTTGACTTTTTATTAAACATTTCAAAAAATTCTGTTGGTGTTCTGCTTGAGAGAGGCCATGTGCCTGTCACTAGTACTATGTTTGCTGTTGGTGATAAGTTTACCTTAACAAAGAACTTTCTTGATGGTTCCTCAAGTCCTAGATGAACACACACAACACAGTTCAGCTTTGACACAGTCAGTGCTGGGACAGAGGATGGTAGCAGACACTCATCACTGTGTTGACAAAAGAACAGATTGTCTTGTACTAAAACTTGCTCTATCCTAAAACTCACAAATGAGGGTCCTGTCAGAGAGCAGTCCTTTATTTACAAGATGACTTGCGATGTACACTCATTATTTTGGATAAATTGTTCAGCAAAACTGTCAGTGTATAGACATGTGCTCAGTGAGTGTCTACTCTGTGATCTAGACATTTATAAATTGATCAACTGGAACTTAAATAGAAATAGGTAGTATATAGTTTTAAATGATGTTTCTGTGGAAAAAGAGGAAAATAGATTTTGAGAAACAAATATCAGAGAATTCATTCTAAATCTTTAGTCTGATATTTAATATATACATTTCTTTTAAAGTCATTTTTCCTGTTACCACATGAACCCTCTGGACCAGCCAAAAGTCTTTTTGTTATCCTTGGTTGGAAATGATTGCTTCTTTTAAATCCTATAGCATTTTTAACCCATATTTCCATTATCACATACTGGATTGCAGTGCTATCTTTTTGTCTGCATACATAGTTTCTCTAAATCTTAAGATACCACCATAGTGTGCATTCCGGGGGACGGTGACCATGTTGTGCATGTCGTTATGCCCCAGCTTGATGCCTTATAAATAATTGGTTCTTAATATGTCTTATGTGAATTACATTGTGAAAAGTAAAACTCACCCGTGCTAATTAATAGTAATTTAGTGGTAGTGAGTAGTTTAAACAAAAAAGTAATCACATAAAAAAAAAAGTCTTATGTGACTCATTAAATAATTTTGATGGTTTCTTGTAGTATTTTAGGAAAGGAAGATGGATCAACCTAGTGGAAGGAGTTTTATGCAAGTATTATGTGAAAAATACAGTCCTGAAAACTTTCCTTACCGCCGTGGTCCTGGGATGGGAGTCCATGTCCCAGCCACACCTCAGGGCTCACCTATGAAAGGTAAGAATGGTGGGGTCTAAATAGCATTCATTTACTAGAATGTCCTTAAGACATTAAACCAGAATAGTGCCTTGTTTAGAAATGATTTCCTTTTTTTAAGTATGGGTCAAATAGTCTTTTTCCCTTGCTAGAATTTCAGCTTTTTCAAAAACCTGAAGGGACTTGTTTTACTCTAGATTGACTAAAAGGCACTTTAGTTGTACTCATAGGGCAAGAAATATGTGAGTGATAATACTCCAAATGCATATTCTTTCAAAGAAGTTGAAGTGTACAAGATAGTTTAAGACTGAGCCTGTGTCCTAAGGACTGTATAGCCTAGCTGGAATGCAAGATACTCACATTTAGGAAGTTAAAACTGTAGTTCATAATTGCAGTTTATGTTGAATCCAATGAATGCCATAGTGATTGGGAAAGAAACTTAGAAGAGAATTAATTATATGATCAGAAAAGGGTCAAATCTATGACACTTGAACTAACCCTTTAAGAATATAGAATTTGGTTAGAGAAGAAATAAAGACATTTTAGGAGAGGGATTATGGGGTGAATAAAGATCTAATTAGAAAAGGGCAGAGTGTTTTTCCTTTGCATTTTTGCTTGCTGTTGTAAGTTCTTAGAAGTAGTTCTTTGTAATTATATGAGGTTAATATTGAACAGTGTTTTGGTTTCTATATCCAAAGGTTACTGTATGTGTGTTATTTCTCGGTGCAAATATATTATCACTTCATATAAACTGGAATGACAGAAAGAACTTCTTACTTGGTAATTTTTTCTCAAGATACATTCCTATTCTGAGAAATTTGATACTGAAAAGTACTAAGTTAAAAAAAACATATAATTTGAGGCCCCCATTAATAAAATATTACCTTTGTGAGTCATTGTTTTATACCAGATAGGGAACAAATGGTTTAATTCTCATGTTTATTCTGAGATAATAAGAGTGCTTTTATTTTTGAATCAGGCAATAGTTTGATTACCCCAATTTGACCAAATTTAGTTTCGGATTCTGAAACACTTTCCCCCATTACCATTATGTATTTTTAAAAGTCTGATTTTCTTAGGGGACAAATTCTATTCTACGTGACTATGAAATGGGAATGATTGATGGACAAATATAAGAGAAAGTGATGTTGATTTTGAAATAGATCCACTTAAGTGAGAAAGATTTCTTAAATAATATGAACTTAAAGAACAGAAATGGCTTAGCAGATAGACTGTCTAATGGTTTGAGATCATTTTCATAGGCAGCAAAAGGTGAAAATACACATTATATGGGGAAAAAAGAGCTATCTGGAGTGATATTTTTGAACTAAATTAAAAAAGAATCGAGGCCAATAGGAGACAATAGTCCAGACATGAATCACATTAATGTAATGTTCAGAGAAGATGATGGCTCTGTTGTTGATGATTGAGATGAACAATCCTGTCAGGAGTTAAAGCCTAGAGGACATATTTGTTGATACTGATCCAGTATTTTTAATTTCCTCCTGGGTCGTATTTGACGGTCTCCCCTCAGAATTCAGCATCCTTGGATCCCATCATAGCCTATATTTTCCAGGTCCTATGCAATTTCATGCCATTTGATTTTGATTCCCGAGGGCTGAATATATGTAGGCAGAAATTAGACTGATGTAGAAAGTGTTTTGTTCCTCCATGATTTAGATCGCCTCAACCTCCCAAGTGTACTGGTGTTGAACAGCTGTGGAATAACCTGTGCAGGAGATGAAAAAGAAATTGCTGCCTTTTGTGCTCATGTATCAGAACTAGATCTTTCTGACAACAAACTTGAAGACTGGCAAGAGGTAAAATTACTAATTTTATTGTTGCATTTTGGTAAAACGAAGCAATAACCATTGTATTATTGTTTATGCTGTTATTCTGCTGAATTCTGGTTCTCACCTGAGATTCTTGTTGTATGTTGCAAGATAAATAATTGACTGCGTCAACTGTTTTTTGGGCACTTAGCTTTGTTATTTCTGATTTGCTTTTCTTTTACGTAAAAAGCACTGAAAAACTTCATTCCAGGTATCAAGAGGTTAATGACACTTAGGTTTCATGCTAATAATGCATGAAATTCACTATTACTATTTCAATATTTATTACTGCAAGTTGACATAAAAATTGCTTGAGCCTCAAACTATTATAAAAATACTCATTCTACTGAAATTTATTCCAAATATTTTAGAATTTTTCCTTAGGTCTCTTTGGTGGTTTGACATGACTGATGTCTTTTGACCTAAGTGTAACTCTATACCAAGAATATAAATAAAGGTATTATAATATTCTGTCTTATAATATATATATAACATTACCTGATAGAAACTACCCTTAAGAATCAGGGAAAAACAGTTCTGCTTGATTTGTTCTCTTGCCTTAATTTATGCTCATAGTTCTTGCATGGACTATTGGAAAACCTTCCTACTAGGTTTTCCTGCCTCTGGTTCCCTTCTGCTTCATCTAAACTATCTTCTATAGCGCTAACAGCATTCTTTTAATAAATGAAACATGACTGTGCATGTTTGAAGTCCTTTAGTTGCTTTTCACTACCTGGAAACTGAAGTCTGAACTCTCTATGGTAGCCCTCCATCATGTGGTCCTTTGCTGTTGCTAGAGCTTTATCTACATCTTTAGTCATATGCTTTTTCTTGCAGCATGTGATAAATTCTTGACACGAAAGCTTCCTTGCTTTTATTCATTCTGAACCTCCTGTTCCCTTTCTCCTCTTTCCTGCCGGCCACTTCCTTTGTATCCAACACTTGGTCCAAGTTGCTGATCCCTGTGAAATGTCACTGGCTTACTTAGAAGAGTCAGATTATTCCAGCACCTGTAAATGGCTGCTGTGAAAGGATTTATCACAACATAGAGCAATCACTTGCTTATTCAAAGTAAAGATTCTGTCATTTTTATCATCAGCATCCAACATGCTAGGCATTCAAATATTTGTTGGCTGCATAAATGAATGAATGATTCTGTCTTAAGAATTTGTTAAGACCACTTGCTCCATTTTTTCCTGTGGTCGAAAGAAATTCACTAAATCCTTCAATGCTTCAGTTTGCTCATTCATAAGACAGGACTGCTGATAAAGTTGAGATACTTTGTAGATGTTAAATGCTACATGAATTCTAAGAAATCTTGGTTATTTAAGAAAGTTTTCTTCAGTTTCTTGTATATTTATCCATTTCATCATCTTATTTAATCTGGTAACTGTGCTCTGTTATATTCCCTATTTTTTTAAGGGTTTTATTTCGTTTATTTATTTTATTTTTTTAATTTAAATTTTATTTTTATATTCCCCATACAATTACAACCCTCTTATTTTGACCCCAATCCCTCCTTTTTCCGCCCCCCACCCCCTGTAGAGTGTCTCTGGTTCATAGTTGTTTGTTGATTTTTATATTTTCTTTCTTATAGTTATTCTTTTTCCTGGTCACTTATTTAGGTTTTCTAGATTCCTGCTACGAGTGAGACCATCCGGTATTTTTCTTTTTCTTTCTGGCTTATTTCGCTGAGCAAGATCCTGCAAACTGGTCCAACCACTATGGAGAGCTGTGTGGAGATTTCTTGACCTACTAAACATAGAGCTTCCATATGATCCAGCAATTCCACTCCTAGGTATTTACCCAAAGGACACAGAAACATCAATTCCAAAGAGCACCTGCACCCCTATGTTTATAGCAGCACTGTTTACAATAGCTAAGCTTTGGAAACAACCCAAATGCCCAAAAATAGATGACTAGATCAAGAAGATGTGGTACATATAAACCATGGAATACTACTCAGCATTCAAAAAAGATAAACACATGCGATTTGCAGCAACATGGATGGCGCTGGAAGGGATCATGCTCAGCGAAATAATAGTCCCTATTTTGATTAAGATGTTTACCAAAAATTTTTAAGATGTATGTTACTTGATTTCTAAGTGACTTGTTAGTATATACAGATTTATTGGACTATTTGAAGAAACAGTCTCTACTTGTACATATATTAATTAATTTATTTACTTATAAGTAACATAATTCACTGTCCAACAAATTACAATCTGTGCCTCCTTGGTCTATTGAAAGGCTTAATTGACATGTGTGCTCTGACCACACTGCACAGAAACCAAAAAAATACCTTATTAGCCCCCCTTCTTCTGATTTCTCACAATAGTCCTACCACTGACCCTTTGGTGAGTTTTTTACCTGCTGGAGCTGGGAGAGGGCAAGTCAGACCAGATCTCCCTCTGAATTATTTCTGCTCATATGTTTACAGGATTTCTCTATGTATGTTTCTTTTGGGAGTAAACAGTTTCACAAAGATTTTTGCTTTGTGCTTTGGTCCATGTTTTGACCTCTTGCAGCTTTTGCTGACTGGGGGAACAGTCTAATAATGATAAAATTGCTACTTTAGAAGAACAGTTTATGTAAATATGAATAGGAACTCAGAGTTTACACTAGGTAAGTCAGTCTTTTCTCTGCTGAGATAAAGACAGGCACTAATTGTTTCCCAGGCCACACTGACATAGATAACCAGAGGGTCATGAATGTTTATTTGTGCTCTTTTGTGCTCAGTTGTATATTCCTTTATGTGCTCAAGAGTCTGTTTCCAGCCAGTGTTCAAGTGAGCGTTTGTTGCTGCTATCTTCAGCTTTCCATTTTTCAATTTATTTTAGTTTTCATCATCCTTTGTATTTTGTCCTTATCCTTAACTGCAGTTGATCCCAATCTTTTAGAGTGTATATCAGAGCATAGAGAGATGGGAGAAATACTACAAAGAAAGAATATTGATTTTTAGGATTGATAAAACCCTGTCAGGCTACAAATGCCTTAGGTCGTGGTTTCAAGACATTGCATTTCAACCCAATTACAATCCATACACAACCCCATTACAACCCATTACCAAAAAGATCACTTGTCCTTGGCCATTAACTAAGTTTGTTTTAGCCAATATTTGATGTAGCAATGTGGAACAAAGTAATATAGTTTGTACTTTTTGTGTTTTGAATGACTACTAATGTTCTGACTATCTAGAGATGCAGAGTGAGAAGTATACTACTTTGGGGGGAGGCAAAGATTTGTCTCTGCCCTTCTAAAATTGGGCACCTATGTCTAAAAATAAGATGCATTTTTTTAGCTTTTGTCTTGAATTTTGGGCTAAGTAGGTTTTTGTATGACCTTTCCCAAGGTATCTCCTTTTTTCCTCTCTTCCTTATCAAAACCATTTTATAAAAGAAATTAAACCAAGAGGTCGAGAGGAAGGTGGAATTAGCCACTCAGCTGAGGCAGAGAATGGCTTGGGTATAAATTACAGATTGTTATCTTAAAACCCTTTACCCATTTTCTTAAAACTTTAGTTTCTTTCTTTTTTAGAAGCCAAAGTAGAGGGTCCTCTGTTAAATCGTAGAACTGTGGGTATCGAAAAGGTGATCCAAGGTCATCCCTGTGTCTCTGCACATGTGTATATGCAATTCAATCCAGCTAGAGGAGTGTTTTTTTTTATTTTTAGAATTTTTAAGAAGGGAAGTTAATGTACTGTCCTAGAAACTCGCCAAATGTTTGTCAGCCTTTGATATTAGTCACTTTTTCCTTTGTACATAAGATTATCTTGTGTAATGGAAATAATATTTCTAGAATCTGATTTATCTACTCAGTAATTTAAAAGTTAATCATTAATTTGAAAATCCTTTTAAATTTTAGCCCTTTGGGGAAAATTTTTATGTCTATCATATGTAACTTTTCTTGTATTTTTACATTATATTCCAACTTTATCATTTTAGGATATTCCAGGGCTATGAAATGAAATGTTATTCCAAATCTTTATTCTCAATGGAGAGTAATATAAATGCAGATCATGAAGATTGTATAACATATCTGCTAGCCTTGGGAATTCTCTCAGAATTGCTTCAAAAACCCCTAAATTTATGCATTTGGGAGTATTTCCTCTTTACTATAAAAAATGAGGGTTGTGGCTTATGTTTTGTTTTGATTTAACTGAGGTTGTACTGTAGTTAGGGGTTACGCTTCATGCAATAGTAGGAGCAAACATTGGGCCTCCCCTGGTGGCGCAGTGGTTGAGCACTCAGCTGCGAAGCTGCCCGCAGCCTCTGCTGCGCCGGTTTGATCCCTGGCCAGCGGTGAGGGTCCCACATGGCACGCAGACCTCTCCTGCTGTGCCCGCTGCTCCCCTCAGTACTGTATTTTGTCGGTCTGCCTGTTCTGTTCCCCGCTGTGGCTCTGGTGAATTCTCTCATCCTCCCGCGCTTCTGACTGTACCCAGTGCTTGTATAAATAAATGTATAAATCTTAAAAAGAAAATTAAAAAAAAAAATAGTAGGAGCACACTTCCTTTTCATCTGTTTTAGCCCTTAACAGAGGTAAAGCATAGTTGGTCATCATCTTCCATGTGAAGTTCCTTCATGTCATCTATGTTCAGGTGATAAAGTGCAGTAGAAGGTTGGTCCCTGTATGGACTATTTAGCTGTTTTTGGCCCCAGACTAAATTCCACATCCTCATCATATGTTGCACAAATGTTTGGTGCTGTTTGATCATAATAAGGATCAAGCAGGAGAATATGTGCAGACTGGTATGAATTCTTTACATTTTAAACTAAAGTTTAGTGTGTTTTCTGTAAAAGATAGCTCATTTCTTCATTTCTTTTTCTATAAGATAGCACATTTATAATGTGAGGATAAAAATGATACCACTTCAAAGGATAATGTTTAGAATTGATAGAAAAATAGGTCCTTGAACCATTTTGCCCAGCCTGCTTCTCAACCTTCTTAGAGGTAATCTACTTCTTACTGATTTTAGAGCTCCAGAACTACACAACACATAGTAGTTCTGATAGAAAGTGCAAATTACTTTTCTTTATACCAGTAGTTCTCAACCTGGATATTCTCTTGGCATTACCTATGGAACTCTAAAAGAAACAGAAAACCAGATCCCAACGAAGAGGCTTCTTATTCGATAGTTTATGGTAGATCCTGGGAATCAATTTACTTCAAAAATCCCACCGATGATTCTGACATATAGCCAAGGTTGAGATACCAGTTCATGTTATACTTGCCAATTTAGTTATAGTTACATTTATTGAATGATGTTGTGCCATTAATTTTTTTAATAAATTAAGTGCTCACTGCAGTAGTGAACTAGGTAAGTACTGTCCTTGATTACATTCTGTTGAATAGTATGTAAGGAATTTCTAAAAGATGTACCAATCATTATGCTAAATGCTTTATACACTTATCTCATTTAATCCTTCCAACAATCCTATAAAATGGATGGGTACTGTTTTCTCTGTTTTACCAATGAGGAAACGAGATTTTGAACAGCTGAGAAGTGTTTGAACCTGGTTTGAACCCAAGTTTTCTGACTCTGAAACTAGTCCTAACTATTCTGTTCTGTTCCTATTTTTATAAGTTTTACTTAACCACTGCTGTTTACTTAATACTTTTGCTGGGCTTCTAGGTTTATTTCATACTTGTTAAGCTAGTTCTTTATTATTTACTGGTTATATTTATGGTTTATTAGTTGTTGTATGTTGGAAATTACAATGGCTCTAATATATTAATCCCAGATCTGACTTGTGACTGTGAGACCCAAACTATTTAACATCTCTGAGCCTGTTTCCTTACTTATTACAATAAAAGTAGTATGAGTACCTTGTAAGTTGTTTTGTCTACCAAGTTGCAAGCTCAATCATTAAATTGATGGTTGTAACTTTCTCTTTCGTTGTATAGTATGGGTGTTTTTTGTATTTGAATAAATAATGTTTTAAAATTTAACACATCTTTGAACCAAGTTGAACTCTGAGTGATTGTAATTCTGTAGTCAATTTTGAATACCTGGATTGTTACCAGGTGGTCTTCAGTAAACTTTTAATTAGCCTTAATGTGCTGAGAATGAGAGGAAAGATATTCAAAGAGATTGCATGACTCAGTCTCAGCTCTTTAAAAATTTGTAGTTTAAAATGTCATCTAAACTATCTTCTCTTTATTTATCAAAGAGAGTATCATATAGAACAGAATCAAAACCTTGCTGAAGGTAACATGGGAAATCTTTCTTTTGTAGTAATAATTTCCAGTGATGCCACTATTTCACAGAAAAAAGATTAAATTACTTGTTAAGGTTTATTGCAATTACTTCTGCATCTCTGTGGGTACTGCACTAAAGAGGACTTCTGAATGTGAATGTGGAGACCTGCTCCCCTAGGCTCTCTTGAGCATGATTACTATTTAAAAACTCTGATAACTGCCTGATGTGTTTTTCTTGTTTTCTTCCTAGGTCAGTAAAATTGTGTCAAATGTTCCCCAGTTGGAGTTTCTAAACCTGAGTTCCAACCCTCTGAATTTGTCGGTTTTAGAAAGAACATGTGCTGGGTCCTTCTCTGGGGTTCGAAAGCTTGTCCTCAACAACAGCAAAGCTTCTTGGGAGACAGTCCACACAATACTGCAGGAATTACCAGAGTAAGCCCTGAGAGCGTGGTGGAGAGAGCTGTGTTGCCATCTGTGTTAGTACATAGAGTTACCGCTGATCTCCCATCTCAGAAACACTAGAGCTGCAGAATGAACAGAGAATGAGGTTAGAAAAACGAAGTAATTAGAATGAGGGTGTGAGGGTAATCTAGTAACATTTTCATTGGAATACTTGTTCAGTGTTGACTAGCTCCAAGACATAGGATATGTCATCCTTTAGCTAGAAAATATTCCTGAGAAGCATTTATCATTTCTAGATCAACCTAACCTTTCTCCATTTGAATCTTCTGATTACCTGATTTCAAATTGGCTTCAGCCCTTTTCTGTGAGAGGAAAGAAAAAACAACATAGTATCTCTAAATTTATAAACACAGAGAAGATTAAGTGTCTGGTTTGCTTGATGGGAAAATGGGCCTGGTATCCTTTTCTATAATTTAAGCAAGAAATTATATTTTTTGCTTGTCAGTTTAGAAATGCTTTGTTATATCTTGTTTGTATCTATCTTTGTATTGGCACATAAGTGTTCAAGGGAAGTAGTTTAAAGAAATATACGATGGTTTTTTCTGACGGTCTAAATATGGAGATTATCAAAGCCTTATAGAATCTGCTTTCACCCTGCTTTTTTCCATCTTATTTTCTACTCTCACTCTAAAAAGGTTGATTTCCTCACTACATCCAACATCTAGCTGGCCTAGAATGAGCCTACAAGCCCCAGTCCACTAACCATGTGGTCTTGGGTGAGCTGATAGCTTCTTTGAGCTCTGCTTTCCCGTCTGTAGACTGGGCACTGTTGTGTCTGCCTTGCAGGAATAGACCTAACACTTTATTAAGGACCTGGCCTAGTCCTGACACAGGAGTTCAATAAATGATAGTTACCATTTCTACTTCTGAACATTTATTCATGGTGTTTCTGGAATTTTCTCCTATCTCCTCTCCACTTATGCAAATCTATCCTCTTTCAAGGTCATCTGTCTTCCCTGATTGTTCTGACTACAGTTTCAGTTCCATCCTTATGTGAACTACAATTATATGTACAGTTAGTATTGCTAATTTGGCTCTTACTTATTTAAGCACAGAGTTAATTTATTACTGGGTTATATCATTCTCTGCTGTTCTTTGTATTTTAGGTTTTATCTTCCCAGTTATGTTTTAGCTTCAGGAAGCCATCTTTGTATTTTCTCTACAGCACTGAGCAGTCCCACAGACAGTAGGCATTTATTTACTGGATGAATGACAATAGATGCATAGAAACTTAACTGCTTTAAACAATGAGATCTTTCCTTTTTTCTCTGCAGTTTGGAGGAGCTCTTCCTGTGCCTTAATGACTATGAAACAGTGTCTTGTCCTTCTATTTGCTGTCATTCTCTTAAACTACTACATATAACAGACAATAACCTCCAAGACTGGACTGAGATTCGCAAGTTAGGAGCTATGTTTCCCTCCCTGGATACCCTCGTCCTAGCTAACAATCATGTGAATGCTATTGAGGAGCCTGATGATTCCTTGGCCAGGTTGTTTCCTAATCTGCGATCCATCAGCCTCCACAAGTCAGGTGAGGTACAGGCCGTGTTCCCCATTGACATGCGAATTGACCGGAGCTTAATCATGAAATACAAGGAAAGGAAATTTCTTTCTGTCATAGCTCTGCCTTCTTATAGGTTGAATTTTCAGGAATCATATGCACAATAATATTGACTATCTAAATTTAAGGCATTTGTTTTCATGAATGCTCTGATAAATATCAAGTGGTATATAGCATTATATTAGCTATTTAGATTTTATTTATTATAGAGATTATGCTACAGAAAGAGTGAAACGAAATGAATGAGTTAAATAGTAAAAAGAAGAGTGAAAAGGTGTAAAGAATGACAGGCTAGAGCAATTTGTCTGGATTTAAGTCAAGAAATGCCAATCTGAATGCCTTTTGAATATGCACTTTCCTTTTCCAGTCTTTATAGTTGGCTGCCAATTTGTTGCCATCTGATGCATTGCTATATCACAGCAATGATTGTTTTCCATCTTTATTTTTTAATTAATACACTTTATTTTTTAGATTCACAGCAAAATTGAGTGAAAGTACAGAGTTCTCACATATCTCCACCTCCCAAATGTGCACATTCCCATCCCCATCAAAATCCTGCACCAAAGTGATATATTTGTTTCAACCAAACCTACATTGACCTATCATCACCCCAAATCCATAATTTACATTAGGGCTCACTATTGTTGTTTTGTATTCTATGGGTTTGGATAAATGTATAATGACTCATATCCACTATTGTAGTATGGTTCATGACCATTTCACTGCCTTAACAATCCTCTGTGCTCCTTCCTGCTCATCCCTCCCTCCCCTCTAATGCCTGGCAACCACCAATCTTTTTGCCTTCTTCATAGTTTTACCTTTTCCAGAATGTCATAAAGTTGGACTCATACAATATGTAGCCTTTTCAGATTGACTTCTTTTACTTAGTAATATGCATTTGAGTTTCTTTTGTGTCTTTATGGCTTGATAACTCATTTCTTTTAGCACTGAATAATATTTCATTGCCTGGATATACCATAGTTTTTCTACTCACAAACTAAAGGACATCTTAGTTGCTTCCATGTTTTGACAGCAGCTATAAACCACTATGTGCAGGTTTTTGTGTGGACATAGGTTTTCATTTCATTTGGGTAAATACCTAGGAGTGCAATTGTTAGATCATGTGATAAGAGTATGTTTAGTTTTGTAAGAAACTGCCAACTGTCTGTCAAAGTGGCTGTAGCATTTTTGCATCTCCAAGAGCAATGATTAAGATTCCTGTTGCTCCATGTCTTGTCAGCATTTGGTGTTGTCTGTGTTTTGGATTTTGGCCATTCTAATAGTTGTATAGTGGTATCTCATTGTTGATTTAATTAGTTATTCCCTAATGACATATGATGCTGAACATCTTTTCATGTGCTTACCTGCCAGCTGTATATCTTCTTTCGTGAGGTACATGTTCACGTTTTTTGTCCATTCGATAGTTTATCATTTTCTTATTGTTGAGCTTTAAGATTTAGATAATTGTTTTTTATCAGATGTGTCTTTAGAAAACTAAGAGATGCAGTCTCTTAGTTTGTGACTTTTCTTTCCATTCTCTTGACATTGTCTTTCTGCCTAGTTCGTAAAACAATGATATAACTAAAAATAACTCTACCCTACAACATAAAAAACATAAACAGTTTAATTCCACATGTAGGTTATTAAAGATGGAAATTAAATTTTAAAAACAGTATGTTGCACAGGAAAGCTGTTTATTTCACAACTTGACACCCCTTGCACTTACTCTGTTCTTCCAGCTGGAAATGCCATTCTGAAGGGAAGAGGACGGCTATGAGTTGGGATAGTTATGCAGCAGGACCTTATAAATCACTTCTCTTCCTCTACCCTTGCTGAAGGTTGATAAAAATAGGAAGGGACTACATTGTTCTCTGAAATGCATTTAATGTGTTGTAAAATTGACCAGCTTCATTATTACAGGAATATTTGTCCTACCAGTGCCAAGTATTGACTTGGATGATACTTTTGCTCAGTCATTGGAAAAGAGTTGTATTAGGACTAAATGATCTTATTTTGTTGTCACCCCTAATCTTCTCAGTGAGGTTCAAGTTTTTTGATTTTTTTTTTTTATTAAATTTTAACTGTTTTCCATGTCCCCCCAAAAGAGGACAGTATGAAAGAGGTAATATTTAGTTCCTGGTTCTATTGACCTTGCCCCACCTTAGAATTTGCTAAGTAAAAATTTGAGTACTATGGTATCTCACTGATCGGTCATTATGTCCAATGAGTCTACATTTGATGAAAGAGTTGGTTACATCACTTTTTATTGGCACACATCCTGTTTATGAAAGCCTATTAACCCCTTTACAAGCCATCTGGGTAGAGAATCAGTGGATCAGTGGATATTGGCAAACAAAGGCCTCTCTTACCACAGGATCACAGGGATAGGAGGGGATAAAGGAAAGCTTTTATGGTGTCTAACTGCATTCCAGTATTTCCTTTGATAAAGAAAAATTCACACTCTTGTTTATGGCCATTTTAACATTTCAGAAAGTATTTATTGAAGTAATATTCTTTGCTGTTTATTTTCTTGTGTGTTTTCTGAATTTTGCTTAATCTATATATTTCTCAAATTAGGTTTGCAGTCTTGGGAAGATATTGACAAGTTAAATTCATTCCCCAAACTTGAGGAAGTGAGATTGTTAGGAATTCCTCTTCTGCAGCCATATACCACTGAGGAGCGAAGAAAATTGGTAATAGCCAGGTCTGTTGTCTTGATATTCTGCTGTCTTTTCTTGTTAACTTGTTGTTTCATTAAAGGGGTGTTATTCTATCAACTATTGAGGAGGGGCAGAGAACACTGTTAGTTTATCTCTGTTTATTGAACAGACTGTGCTTGAAGGAGCTGTTTCTACAGCTCCAATCTTAAGGAAAGGGATACAGTATGATGAGAAAGATGTGAAATCTAATTGGCCTGCCAAGACCACTGAAAAATTCGCTCACAAATTCATTCTATTTTCATGCTTTTTGTATTTACTATATTTGAACAGATAAAGGAAAAGTAGGTTTAATAGGGAATCAATTTTGTATTAATTGTCTGATTTTCTCTGTTAACATAATGGTTACTTAAAATGTAAATATCTGAAAACTGGGCTATCTCATAGTGTAACACTTAAGAAAGCAGAATCTTTGTTTTCTGAAATGTAGACTAACTTATATTTGACTACTATTATCTTCTTTCCGCTCCCCTGACTTTTCATATCTCAGACTCCCCTTCCCACAGACTATTAAAATGTCCCAGGAATGTTTATTTTTATAGGTGCCTTTAGCAGCAGGACATTTTGGCTAAGGTGTACAGGGCCGTGGAGCTTTGATTTGTTCTCTTTGTGAACTATGCATAGCAGTTTTGAAAGGGGAATGGTAGGCCTATGGTTCCCTGAACAAGAGTGGTTCTTTAAACAGGGTATTGATCTGCCTGACCAGCTAATACCTCACAGACCTTCGCAGCTTTCCAGTTGTTAACATATACATTATTATCGCACTGAAGAAAGACATTTTGGCATTCTTTTCTTCTAAGAAGAATTAAGTCTTGCAGCAGGCCTTATACTTTATTTTCTGTACACAGTTCTCTTGTTCATACCTTGAACTCTGTAACCAAATTTTACTGACTGTTTTGTAGACTTGTACTGTTCAATATGATACCACTAGCCTTGGGTGACTTTTGTACTCTTGAATTATGGCTCATCTGAATTGAAATTTGCTATATGTCTGAAACAGAAACAAGATTTTGAACACTTTATATTAAACAATTTTAGTATTTCATTAGTTATTTTTTCATATGGAGTACAAGTTGAAATGATTAAATCCTGGCTATCTTGGATTAAATAAAATATTTTATTAAAGTTGATTTCTCCTGTTTTGTTTTTGCTTTTTAAAATATGACTGCAAAAGAATTTTAAATTACATATGTGGCTTGCATTATATTTAACTTGGATTCTGCTACCTAGAATTTTATTTTGAAAGGTGAGGTAGGTTCATTGCCACAGCTAAAAATGAAACTTTAGATATTTTTGGTCCTTTAATATCACATCAGTTATGTGGGTAGTTATACATAAGCAGAATTTATATCAAATGTGCCCTTTCCAGAGAATAAGACTGAGCTTTAAACCACTCATTTTATTTCTAAAACTAAATGTTTTTAGTATCATAAAATGTCTTTATTTTGGTTTTATTTATAGATTGCCATCAGTTTCCAAACTTAACGGCAGTGTTGTTACCGATGGTGAACGAGAAGATTCTGAGAGATTTTTCATTCGTTACTATGTGGATGTTCCACAGGAAGACGTGCCATTCAGGTAAAAATTACTCATCAGTTTTGTAACACTTTAGTCAATAATGAGGCAATTTAATAACTACTGTTTTAGAGCAAAATCTAATGATATTGAAGTTTTTGGGCCCTCTTAAGAGGACTTTAATTACAGGATATAAAAAAGGAAGAAACACAAAAGCGTGTATTTCTTCTAGCCTTCCATTTGTACTAAGAATGCTTGGGTATGTATTTAACTTCATCCGGCGGTTCCTACTCCATTCTCCATATTATTGATTCCTTTTTGATCTACTTCTCTAGGGACACATTTTCACCTACCTCCAAAACTAATATTTTTTCTTTCACTTTGCATCTTCCTTTGGGATATAATTAATAAGCCCTGCAGTTTGGAAGATTTGTCAAAATTACACTCGATTTACAGAATATGGAAAGAGGGCTGGAAAATAGACTCTTAAGGAAATATTAAATGAATTAATTTTGACAGCTAAATTAGTAATTACCTTTGAGTGTATGAATAGTTAATATATTTGTTGATGAAGAACCACCTGTAATAGTCTGTAAATGTAAAAAGAACTGTAGCAGATATGATATAGGTAACGTTAAACAACCACAGCAAAATATCCCAAAACAGGTTTTCTAGTGTTAAGAAGTAGAATCACTTACCAAAACAGTTATATGCTTTCCTTAATGACTTTAGCAATAATATGAAATCCCATTTGACCAGAGGATTTCAGACAAACAGGATGCAAATTAGGATGAATGTGAGTCAAATCAGTTAGTCCTGCTTACAAATTTCTGTGATTCTAATTCACTCTCACAGAACGTAACTATCTTTTGCCAAAGTTCTTTCTTATCTGTGGACGTTAAAGGGCATCAGCATGGTGTAAAGGCTCAACCGGTGCTGTATATAAAGATATTGTGGTATTACTAGCAGTATTTTAAAGCCAAAGCATTTAAAAATATTAGAGAAAGTTAAGGATTTTGAAGATAGCCACTTAAAATTAGCTAAAAACAGGCAGCTGGGGCAAAATAGATATTACTGTGCCTTTTAACACAACCCAGAAATATTAGGTTAAACTTATGAAATATTTTTTACCAAAAAAATCTAGTTTTATTTGATTCATTCTAACATCATAATGAAAGAAATATCTTGACTTTGAGCATAAATCTGTCACTATATAATGTTTAATTAATTTCTAGTCTACTACAAAATGGCATGTGTGTGTGTGTGTTTGTTTGTGTGTTTGTGCAGTAAATTGTTTTCTGTTCCTGAGGGTGTAATTATCCTAAAGCATTTATACTTCTAGTCAGGGTTCTTGAATGCAGGTCATAGAAATCACCTTTAATCAGGGAAGAATTTATTAGAAGAATATTAAGCTATTATTGTACCCTTAGAATAACAGATGTTCCTCCCCACAGTCTTGGATTTTTCATACTATTGTTTTATTCTTGGCAGCACTTTGTCAATAACCTGGAGTATACCATGTGACCAACAGTGATAATTAGTTATTTCACTACATGTCTGGGACTTGCAGAATCTCTTCCATGCACACTAATTGGATACTCACTGGCTTCTACTAGGGACCAATCCCAAGTTATCCTTAATTATCTGAGGGGACTATGCCTATAAGCCACTTCCTGTGCCAGTTTTTTAGTGTACACAGTAGAAATCAACTCTGTCCAACTTAAGTAGGATAAGATTTTAGTTAAAAGAATGAACATTATATAGCTCACAGAACTTACAAGAAGATTAGAGCACTAAGCTTGGGTTGGGTTGATGGGAAGCAAAGCACATCTAAGACTTCTGTTTCTGGGTAAACAAACAATGCTTCTCACTGGCCATTGAACAGTCATCAGCAAGCTGCTGGACTTCATTGCTCTGAAGACAGTCACAGCCACAGCTTTGAATTCTTGACTCTTCCATATCTGCTATGAATAATCTGTTCAACCTTTAATCTTTCACTATATCTTGAGATTTAAAATTTCCACTTGCAGATATACAGGTTATGTCACCTTCTCATGATCTAGCTTTCAGCTTTCAGTGAATAGAAAAAAAAAGATTCTCTACTCCTCTTTTGTTTTTAGTGGCATGTGGTTCCTTCCTCATATATTTATCTTGGGTTTGTCTCAAATCAGAAAGGCATTGAGATGCTGGAAAAAGTTGACATGTATCTACCAATATACCTGTCCCCTAGTAGATTTCCTTATTAGACCCCTGGTAGAATTATCCATTTACTCAACAAATATATTTTGAACCATTTTGACATGCCAGGAACTATGATAGCCATTTAAAGAACTAGAACAGCATTCCTATTGATAGCAAGATGGAATAGTGAATAAGCACAGAGGAGTTTGTATTAAAATGCCTTCATTATGAATTTAGGGACTATAAACAGGGTATTAGTACTATACTTATCTCTTTAATTGCCTTCCAAATTATATGCAAAATCTCTACCTAAAATACCAATGAATAGTTAATAGCACAGTGCATAGTTAAATTTTCATAGAGGTGAAAATTTAATTCTCAGGATGATTCAGTGTTTCAACAGAATCACATTTGAGCTTTAGTTTCCAAGCAGAATAGACATATTCTTTGTTTTGAGGAAAACATTCTTTTTCATTTGACCATGAATTTTTTGAGATTATTGTTTAAATTGATTTTGCTATATATTCTAATTTCTGCAACATCCCTTAGCTGTTATGTTCCCTGAGCTTTTTCTTCTTTCATTTTCCTGCCTTGAATCGTTAAACATGAAACACCTCTCTCTACTCAACTTAGGTACAAGTAAAAAAGTTAGCCGTTGAGGGCATGGATAAAAAGCCATTAGGATCAGTTGAATGTTCTTTTTGTTAGCAAAAGTATGTTTTGAGTCAGTTGGATGTTCACACACATCTGTTTCCATGTGATTAGTTGTTTGGGTTACAAAGACTTTAAAGATGATCCAGAAAGTTTTGTATTCTGTTTTCCTATGTTAGACTAACATAAAGCTCCATTTACTTGAATCATTTCAGTTTTTTATGATGAACAGAATAAATGTTTAAAGGGAGACAAACTTATTAAGAATTTTATAATGTCTTATAGGTGCTCAATTATCCTTTTTATTGCTTTCTACTGGTAGGTGGAGCTGGAAGTTTAGCCTTTCTGCTGTAGCTCTTTATGGTAATAATAGACTATCACAGAAAAACTGAGCAATCACCCAAATGTTTCATGTTTATTTACTTTGTGAAACAATAGAAGATGAAAAGTCTCTGTTTCTGATTCTTGGCCTTTAAACATCATAGTGTTTGCTCTTCTCAATAATAGGCTCTTTCTCCTAAAGCCTTCATCTGTGCCTTGTCTCCCCATGCTTGTGTGTCAGTGGTGTGTTATTTCAAAACCAGCTCAGTGTGTGCTGCAGGTGGTTGAAAAGATGTCCTCACTGGGCTGGTCATATTTCAATTATTGAACTCTCATATTGTACCAGGAGAACTTCTAGGAAATAATTCTGTATTCTAGCTGGGTTTCAAAGGACAGTTTAATTTATTTACTGAATACTTACTATGAAGCAAGAGGCACTGGGCCAAAGGTGAAGATAAAAAGACAAAAAGAGTAGTGTCTACTCTCAAGAAGCTTGCCATCTGAGCTAAGCTAGAGATATATTTCCTTTGCTGCATCCTCCTTATGTTCCCAGCCTCTACAAATCAGGTTACCCCAGGATTTAGTCCTTGGACTTCTTCTCTTCTCTATTTATCCCCTAGATACTTTATCCAGACCTGTATTCTAATAACTGCCACATTGATCCCTCCAGCTCTGATCCACCCCTGCATTCCAGGCTAGGATTTCCAACTGCCTACTCGGCATCTACATCTGGATGTTTAAACGTAGTGTGTCCCAAATCAAGCTTTTGATACCCTACATTACCCTCCCTCCCCACCTCCCTCACCCATTACCACCACACCCACTCTGCAGGTTTTCCTCCATGTCTCCAGTTTACTAGTTGTTCGGAACATAAACCTTAGCATCATCCTTGATTTCTTTCTCTCACACCCAACATCTAATCCATTTGTTTTTATTCTCTCAGTTCTACATTTAAACATATATATATTTTTTCTATATATATAAAATACAAGTACTTCTTATTCATTTTAGATCAAGCTTTCATCATCTCTTATCTGTATGATTATAGTAGCCTCCTAATAGGTCTCCCTGAATTCACCCTGCCATCTATACCTTATTCTCCATATAGCAGTTAGTTTATAAGGACTCAAGTTTACTAAAAAACAAACAAACCTTCCTTCCTATTTCTCAAACACACCAAGCACACTCTCACTTCAGTCAGCCCTTTGCACTTTTTTCCCTGTTTGCAGTGCACCAAGTTAACTGCTTGACTCTCCCTCACTGATACCTTGTCAAATATTCCTTTCCTGACCATCCTATATAAAATAGCAAACTTGGGCCTTCCCTGGTGGCTCAGTGGTTGAGTGCTGGGTTGCAGGGCTGCCCGCAGCCTCTGCAGCGCCAGTTTGATCCCCAGCCACGGGCGAGGGTCCCACAAAAAAAAAAAAATAAATAAAATAGCAAACCTCTGTCTCCTATGACTCTCTTTTTAAAAAAGATTTATTTATTTATGCATACAAGAGCTGGAGTGCAGGCCAGAGATGCAGGGTGTGAGAGGATTCACCAGAGACAGAGTGGGGAGCAAAACAGGCAGATGTACTGAAATACACTGCTGAGAAGAGCAGCGGGCGAGACAGAAGAGGTCTGCTGCGCCATGTGGGTCACCTCCCTGGCTGGGGATGGAACTTGTGCTGCAGGGGCCTCCCTGGTGGCACAAGGGGTTAAGATGCAGCACTATGTAGCTATCCTATGACTCTCTTTTTCTACTTTTATTTTTCTTATTTATCATCATCTACCTTCTGGGTTCCACTACAATAAATCATAAGCTCTATGAAAGTGGGAACTTCTGCTTTGTACCTTGCTGTGTCCTCTGGTCTGGAGCAGTGCCTGAAAATATAGCAGCTCTTCAATAAAACGAATACTTGAAATAT